CCATCAAATTTGGCACAGATATATAGAAAAGTCAAGTCCCACACTCTATGTGATAACTTTTCTAGAGATCTGTGCCAATTTTGATGGTGATCCTTTGGAGTCTTACTCACATAGACGTGGAAGGGTCTCATAGTATCATTTATCTATATATATATGGAAAAAGCTGGGTTAGCCCACTAGCTCATATGAACATATGAGCCCAACAATCTAGATTGAATTTGAGCTGATCTGACGATCACGGATGTTTGGTAGTGTTTGAATTTTTTTTACAAATACAAATCACATGAAATTTTAGACGTGTGTTCATCATAAATAGGTGAATCTTCAAAAATTATCAAAAAAATATTTTACATGAAATAAATTGACCAAAATACCCCTAAAAATCTTCGAGGGTTATTTTGATCATTTTTCTTTTCACGAATAATTGTTTTACTATTTTTATTAGGTACATATTGATAAGAAGAACATACGTTTAAAATTTCAAGTGATTTGTATTTGTAAAAAAATAAATAAAATTCAAATACTACAGGACATCCGTGATCGTCAAATCTTCCCATATTCAATCTGAGCCGTTGGGCTCATATGTTCACATGAGCTAGTAGGCTAACCCCAGCTTTTTCCAATTTTAAGTGATTTGGATTTGTATAAAAAAAAAAAAAAAATTCAAACACTAACGGACATCCGTGATCGTCAAATCGGTCCAGATTCAATCTAGACAATTGGGCTCATATGTTCATATAAGCTAGTTGGCTAACCCCAGCTTTTTCATATATATATATATATATATATATATATATACCATAATGTTTTTTCAGGTTCAAGTTCAATAAATTCGGGTCCAAACAGGTCTGGATCCCATAATTTGTTTTAGGTTCAGGTCCAGACGAAACCAGACCCAACCCGACCTATTACCACCCCTACCTTGATGTGTTGAGCACCCCACAACAATGAATCCAACACTCAAACAAAATTCCAAAGAGCAATATAAGTAATATATTGGGGATAAAATATAGAATCAAGAAAAGTGAATAAAATGAGAAATCATCAAGCCACAACACAAGTAAACATAGAACACACACATAAATTTACATGATTCACCTAAAATAGGCTACATCCAGGCAAGGGGCAATGATGTATTTCACAATGAATAGAAGAAAGTTATAAGTTTGTGGGTTTTATAGATATTACCTCCTACAATGACAAAAAAAACTCAAATAGTTTTTTTTACTATAGTACCACCATCAATCAATTTCTCTCTTCATCACCGTCGACCAAGACCGTTGCCGCGAAAAAATGCCGACCAAATATTGGTTCAATGTAGACCATAATGCTATAATTTGCACACTAACCTCAATTTCTATTCCCTAAACTTCTCAACACCTTTTCTTATATTTTCTCTCTAAAAAATATACGATTTATGGACCTCGATAAAAGAACATTTTAGTATAACTAAAATACCCCTAATACAGAGGGGAATACCAAAATGAGAGTGATTGATTGTGCATCACCTCCCAAGCAGTCTGCTCCTTTGGAAGCATTTCCTTAATTCAATCCTACCCCCCAAAGTAAACCCTTCTTTTTTTGAGATCTCAAACTTGGGTCCTAACCTCTTAGAAGTCTAAGCTACTGACCAGCCTTTAGAAAAGAAATACTTATGTATTTTTTACGACAACCCAAAAGAAATAAAGGGATTAAATTAGAAGTTGGTTTGCCAAACCAACTCCTGGTTTACATTTGAAGCCCATCGGGCATGCCACACTGAATGGAGCTTTGCATTAGAAGCTAGTCGGTCATTCAATCAGCTGCTGAGCTGGCCTCACTTGTACCATTAAGGTTGGTTTGATACATGGAGCCAAACTGATATCGTCACCAAAAAATATATTCAAACTTACGTCAGCTGAAAAACTACTCAAAAAACAAATTTTCTTTCTGAAAAATTGAGATCTAAACTAGTCACCCAATGATTATCCCAAAAAAATTGCGATTTTGGCCTAACAGGGCAATGAACAATATGATCCTGCGGGAGCTTGCTACAGTGCCATCTTTTATTTTCTGCGGTGCATAAAAGGCAGCTGCCTTGCTGCAATCACACCGCATAAGAGAGGAGCGGAGTTGCCCATCGCACGCAGCCGCCGCATGGCAGCAGCTACCACCGCCTCCGCTGCTGCGGGTAGGGCCTTCAGCCTCTGCTGCAAAGCCGCCTCATCCTCCTCCTCCGCATCCCTCTTCTTCTCCCCAAACCTAAAACCTCAAGAATTAGGGCGGCCCTCTTCCTCCCTATTCCTGGTGAACAAGAGGAAGAGTGAGCGGCCGCGGATCAATTGCCTCATCCCTGGCGTTGATGGAGGCCTTTGGGAGGGAGGCGAAGAAGAAGAAGAGATGGGGGATTTTGTGTCGACACGGAAAGGGGGCTTCAAGAGGGAATTTAAGGTATTGGCAAACATGCTGAAGCAAATTGAGCCCTTTGACACTTCTGCCATAGGGAAGAGCGCGTCTGCCTGCTGCAAGGAGTCGATGAAGCACACCATCTCCTCCATGCTAGGCTTGCTGCCCTCTGACCACTTCTCTGTAACTGTCACTGTCTCACGCCACCCTCTTGCTCGCCTTCTCACTTCATCCATCATGACAGGGTATATGCTGCGTTCTCTCTCTCTCTCTTATCCCCCCTCTCTGTCTTTGAATCAATTTTATTTGTTTCCTCTATGATATTTTCCTTCTTCTTTATTTACTGTCATGTCTCATTGCAGTGCACAATGTTTTCCCAATGCTTTTAGTTTATAGTGATATTGAAATTCCTTCTGTTTCGAGCCTTGTTGAAATTCCTTCTGTTTTGTTCAAAATCTCGGAGGCATGCCCTATGCGTTTTTTGGGGGCGGCCAGGCGCCCGGTGGGCCTGGCTACCGAGAATGAGTTTAGGCGCATGGAATTCTTAGGGCAGGGGTTTAGCCCTCTAGGAAGTTCATTGGGCAGTTTTTGGGCCCAAAACACCTAAAAATAAAAAAATAATCGGAGACAACATCATTCATTACATTCATGTAAAAGAAAAAATCAAACTGGCATTTGGCAAATAACAACAAAACTATTCACATAACAATTTGACTTTCCAATCTAACAAAAATCACATAATATCAATCTAAAATAAATCAATCACATGATATCTCATGCATAATATCCCTAAGATTGTGTTTTCCGATCTAAATATTCACAAGATATCAATTTAGTTCAAACTATTGACGAGATATTGGCCTAAACTGGTAACAACTATAAGCATGTACAAAATATTCCAAAAGAAGAAGGAAAATTAAAGAACATCAAATCATAACACATTATACAAAAAAACAAATACCAAACCTTAATTCAAATATTGTAATGCACTAACCTTTTCAAAATGAAATCAATATAGGCCCAAGCCAGGGCCAAAATGTATCCAAAAGTATATCTTTCGATTTCTCAAGAAATTGAAAATCTTGAAATTTTTTTTCGATCTTGATAGAAATCTAAAATCCTAGATTTTTTTCCCCACTCTCTAAAACACAGAGAGGGTATTCCGGGGCTAGATTGCCCCCCAAACAACGTCTGCCCCCTTTTAGGGGGGGAATGCCAAAAATGATGCCCCTTGTGTATTTTCTCCCTTGGCTAGGGTGCATTAAGCTATCACGTAGGTGCCCGCCTTAAGGCGAACGTCTAGGTGGCGCTTTGGGCGCCTAAATGCAAAGATGCTTAGGAAGCCCGCTAAAAGGTGCCTAGGCATTTTCTCCTCTAGGTGGCCAAGTGGTTGAATTTTTGAACATTGGTGTTGCATAATTATAGGGGGTTCAGGAACCTCTAAAATTGTTATGATTGTGTATATTATTGCAAATTATTAGCTCAATACTGCTTGAAGTCCACAACTGTGTGTGTGTGTCTCAATTTGGGTTTGTAGTGCGCTTCTGTTAGGAAAATCCTCCATTCAGTAAAACGTTCTGCATTTCTAAGTACTTTGTGGGAGCATCGATATCCTTTCAATTGCTTTAATCTTCCTCTATAACTTCCTTGTATATTTGTTTTTGAATAATGAACAATTAATTAGCTAAAAACTATATTAAACTATTAGGTACACTCTATGGAATGCCGAGTACCGCATCTCGCTAACAAGGAACTTAAATCTGACTGACGAAACAATGGCAATGCCATCCTCCCAAGAATCCAACGTTTTGAAGAGTGATGATAGTCATATGCAGGATGGTGTAGATAAAGCAACTATGAATGGGTCTGGCTTGGATGTCCCTGAGGGTTTGAGGAATTTGTCCCCAACTGTTTTAAATTATATCCAAGAGTTGAGAACAGCACTGGCATCTGTTGAGAAGGTAAGGATTGATAACATCAGGGCTCCTTGTTCATGCCTCAATAATACACAATTGCACACTTTGCTAGTATATTCATGTATTGATATATTTTTGCATGCAAGTTTGTATATATTCCGTGTGTGTGTGCGTGCGTGTGCGTGCGTGCGTGTGCGCATGCATGTGTGTGTGTGCACGTGTGTATGTGTGTGTGCACGTGCGCGCGTGTGTGTGTGAACATGCACTAGATTTCTTCTTGAGGTCCATTCATTTTAAGTTAGTGAAATATGTGATCATGGTTCTTGCCTTTCTCTTTGACATAACCTTAATCTTGGGAGTTGATTGATCAGTAACTTAGTGAAAAGAAGATGCATTGTCATTGAATTCTCTGTTTCTTTGACATAACCTTAATCTTGGGAGTTAATTGATCAGTAACTCAGTGAAAAGAAGATGCATTGTCATTGTATTCTCTGTTTTATAGATTAGAACAATGAGAAAATAATTCTTTGGGATAGATTTTTAGATTATGAAATAGCCGAGGCTAAATAGTTGCGGTAAGGCTCGGATGATGATGATGATATTTGGATTATGAAATCTAAGCTGGTTGCGTGCTACTTGGTTTGGCTAATGCTATTCATAAGCGGTACGCTTGAACTGATGGAGTTGTTTAATAATTAATCAATATGGTAATCGTATAGAATTTGGAGTGACTATGTGTGAGGGAATTTAGGGGTGGGTTGAATAGGCGATAATATGAGGAAAAGTAGACTTAGGTGTGCTGGCCATGTCCAGTGTAGGCCTAATACGGCACCGTTCAGGAGGGTTGATTTGGTTCAAGTGGAAGGGTCTAAAGGGCAAGGGGGAAGGCCCAAAAGGACATGGAAGTAGTGAGAAAAGATATGGTGACTTATGGCTTGACTGAGAGTATAGCCCTTGGTAGAGTAGAATGGCAAAACATGATTCATGTAACCCACCGCAACTAGCTGGGATAAGGTTCGGATTTTTTTTTCTTACCTAATTAGTGTGGAGGAGCTCTGCACTCGTTTTCATTAATATGTAGGCTACAAAACCAGTTACATGTTCACCCTCAAGAAAAGGTATTGAGATAGATCAAAGTGAGAAAATATAAAATGAAAAGTAGAAGCCTTTTTTTTTTGGAAGTCGTTCACAATATGTTACTAAAGTATATGATATACAAAAATTCCTCATGAGAAGTGAGTCTTTGGCATCCCACATCGTTGTTGCTCTGTACGAAAAAATATAGGCCAAAAAAGTTTTGGCATCCCACAAATATGGTGCTCAAACCCAAGCAGATGAGAAAATATGTATGTGGCAACCCACAGACCAGGTGCTCAGCACACAGAAGGTACCAAGGAGGGTGACAACGTATAAACCAGGTGCTCACACCTCCCCAAGAAGGGGCGGGCTGGGGGGGCAACACTAAAAAGGGATTGGAGAAGAGAAGGAGAAGGCACGTCAGAGAGGATAGAGAGAGGAATGCGAGAAAATGGATGAGATGATAGTTCGATTTAGGGGTGAGAGAGAGAGAAGACTGGAGGGGGAGAGAGAGGAACGAGTTGAGACGAATATATGTGCTGAGTGAAGAGTTGTGTGATATAGTACAAAGAAGAAGTGGGGAAGAAGATAGAGAGAGATAGAAGAGAGGGTAGGGGGAGATCCAAGTCATCCACAAAAAAAAGAATATTTGTAATTAGCATCATCAAAAAAACACAAACAGGGACCCTGTTTCACTAATAAGGTGGGTGGGACAACACTAGCAACTACACCCTCCTTAGCATCTACTGAGGTATTGGCCTTCCTCTAGATATGATGAAAGCCGACTCTTAGAGACCTGCAAATATGGAATATCCTGTCATAAGTGTGAGAAAGATGCCACGGGTGCTGGGACCTCCTTTGGGCTCATAAAATGATGTTCCTTGAATTTCCTTCCTCGATAAGGTTTTGACCCCAAGATGGGTTAAACCTTAAGAGACCTTCCAAGAGTGCCCAATCCTCAGTCCATGTGGAGGTACCATTGCTGAGGGAACCTCAAAAGGATGATAAAATGTTGGCTTCTTCATACCAAAAACTCCTCCAAATCCACAAGACCAAGGTTAACTAGGAAACAACCATTAAATTGAGTTTAATAGTGCACAGAGAGGATCTAGGCTGTCTGGTAGGTTTGTGGGTGGTGATTTCTTCCAAATTGGTTAGGAAATTTGGTTTGGATAAATGCTGAGGGACCTTGTCAGTGGATGCCTAGAAAATGGTCATGTTGTAGAGCTGGTCCAAAATGCATGGAATAGACTTGTGATTACTTTGAAATATCATTGCGGTTCTCTCCTTCCAAATGATTCAGAGACTGGCCAGGAATGTAGCCTTCTAGAGGAAAAGGCTGGCCTTAGGGTAAGGAGAGGAAAGAAAGCCAAAAAAGCTCTACATGGAAATGGGTGTGATACATTCCAAGTTGAAATCCTTTAGATTTGAAGCCCAAGTGGCCCCAGCTAAAGGACAATGTAAGAACAAATGGCTGTGAGTTTCTCCAGCCTCCAAACACCACAAGCAGAAGCGGTTAGCGAGCGGAAAGCCTCTCCTTGGAGATGCTCCACGGTCCCGATTGCCAATTGTATACCAGCCAAAGGCTTGGATTCTCGCCTGCAGGGGGGACTATCCAAGTAAGTTGAGGGGAGAAGTGATGGCAGGGTTGGCCAAGAGTGCTTTATAGAAGAATTTAAAATGAGAGCATCGGTTTGAGATGGGGTCCACATAGGCCTGTTTGGGGTGAAGGTTTTTGTGTAAAAGTTTAATAAAAGGATATGGACAGCAAGTAGGTCAATGGTTTCGGAGTTGGTGAGGGCCTTCTAAAGGTTGGGTTCCACAACAAAGGTTGGTGGGGATGTTTGAAAAACTCGGCAATAGAGGCCGATTAGGCCGAAGGTGTGTTAGAAATTAGGAAAAGGTTTGACCACCTCTCCTTTGGGGCCAGTCCGCATTCCAGAGATCAGACAAAAAAGAGACCCTGTTTTCACAGTTGATCTTGAACTAATTGAGAGATCGAGGAGGTTGGCCAGATGCTTAGATACTTTTATAGAACACGAGGACCAAGAATGGCTATTCTAGGGGGAAACCAGGTGATGGAGTTGGAGGCTTTGTTCATGACAACCTCATGCTAAAGACAGTCAGGATTCGTGGCATAACTCCACCACCATTTCCCAAGAAGAGTGAGATTCATGCGTTTGAGGGTTCGGAATCTTCGGATACCTCAACCACGCAGGTCCTTAAGGGTATGCACCTGATCCCAAGCTACAAGATGGGTTTGCTTATGATTTTTGTCTCCAGGCCACAAGAAGGTTTCATAATTTTTTCTAAGGAGTTGACAACACCGCTCGGCATCAGGAAGAGGGACATGTAGTAAATGATTAGATTGGAGAAAGCAGCCTAGATGAGAATCATATGACAACCCAAGGATAAGAAGCGACCATGGCACATGTCTAATCCTCCATGGAAGTTGTTGATGAATGGTTCTCGGAGAGTCCTAATAGGTTGCCTACACAAAGGGGTACGTCGAGGTATTTGGTTGGGAGGGATTTAGTAGCACAACCTAATCTGGAAGCAAGGGAAGAGAGGGTATTGGGAAGGAAATGAACACCCATAAGCTTGGATTTTGCCATATTGATATGCATCCCCGTGACTACCGCAAAACACCTAAAATAACCTAAGGGTGTCTATTTCTTTAGGAGAGGCATTACAGAAAACAAGGGTGTCGTTTGCGTATTGTAGATGGGAAACTATGTTAACTGTCCTTGATGTCTTGAAACCAAACATGCGACCCCTATTGTAGAGCCTGGATATGGACCTGTTGAAAACTTGAGCTACAATAGTGAAGAGAAAGGGGGAGATGGGGACACCTTGACGGAGCCCCTTTGGAGGACTGGAAATATTCTTTGGGGAACCATTAATGATGACCGAGAAGGAAGCGGAGGAAACACATCCGTGAAGCCTCCTTTCATTGTTTAAGGAGAATAAGATATACATTAAGTTTCTCATTGAAAGAGCACAAAATCCGAAATAAAAATATCTCAAATATGAGATTCTTAGTGGCTCTTTGTGAGAAACAATCCCAAAATTCAATGACGAATCTAAGTAGTCCTAGGGAACAATTTTCATCCAATATAGACCAAGCATTGCAAAGATGTCACAGCTTTTCAGATTGGACCCGAGTCTAGGTTGAAATTTTTTATTATCAAATCCCTAAAATCTGAAGTTTCTTGCTCTAATTTAATCCATCTGATAGATCATGGAGAAACAAGTATAGGGCTGAAATTTGGGCTCAGTTGGTGCTTCTATGATGAGAAATGAAGAGAAAAGGGAGCAGGATTTTCCTCCCCCTTTATTTTACTGTATATTCCTGTATTTTTGTCGAATTCGTAGAGTTTTACATGACTCGCTGAGTCAAGCCATTCTCACTGAGTAGCTATAGTACTCAGACGAGTTGCTACAGTAACTCACCAGGGATACTGTAATGCTTCAATGTAAACCTGAGTTAGGAGGTTATTGGCTCGGCAGAGTGCTGAGTCTGAGTGACTCATGCAAGTTGGAATGCACTCGCCCGAGTTTTTGGCACTGGTTTATAACATTGCAAGGCATGTATCTTTGTTTTATGAGGAAACCCATGTTGAATTTCTTCTAAATTGTCGACTAGTATTTCATTAATGTAATGAGAGGTACAAGGTTATGTAAGTATAGAAAGGAAGAAGGAAAGAAACTACAAAAAAACAAATATAAGAATATAGGGATCCACTCCTTGCTTTAAGACAGAGCCACAACTAAGGGATCTGGAAGCCCCTGATGAATCTATTGATGCATGAGTCACAGCATCGATGTGAAGAGGAAACCTCAAAGCTACATCTTTTGAAATTATCATCTAAAAATTTACAATGCTAGTTTCCAAGGCTAGGGATAATCTTTCCGTGCCCATGAAATAACAGTGAATGAAAGACCTTTAATCATAAGTGGTCCCATAATAGATGAGCATAATCTCTGATAGGAGCATAACCATTTCTGCTTCTTGTGAGTCACATGTTCAAACTAATCCCGAGAACCTGAGGAGAATAGCACTTGAATGGGATCTGAAACTCCCCCATTGCCTCTAGGCCAAGATTATCTGCAGGGCTTCCGTCAAAGTTAATTTTCACTTCACCGAAATAGTGAAAGCCAAACCAATGATCTTCTAAAAGTAAGGCCCACACTAACAAGGGCCACAAACTTAAAAAGGGGATCTTGAGGTTCCCTAAAATTCTTTCCCAACTTAAGTGCATAACAGACAATGGGATGTCAGTCAATCGTACACCATTGGCATGCCGGCAAATTTGCTTCTGGATGTTTGATGGTTGGGTTCCATGAATAAAAACCTGGGGTTGGCTATTACACCTGGTCTCTGAGTATATGATGAGGTGAGGAGTAGGAAGTGGGGAAGAGAACGAATGCTTGACTGGATCATCCGCTGTGGATGGATGAACCTGGCAGAAGTCAAAGTCGTCAAGGAAAGAGCCCAAATAGCTGAGGCACTGGACAATGTATAAAGAGGTGGTTAATTGTCTCTGCCTGCATCGCACACACAATGCATCTAGGTATGGGCTACCTTTGTTTTTTAGATCAGTACTGAGCACTTTGTCCAGTGTACTAGCCGGGCAAAGACCAGGGTTGCAGGAGTTGTGGGGATACTCCATATGAATGGACATGGGCTGGGTTTTACAAGAATTTGGTGAGGTGGTTCTAGAATAATTTTATTGAGAAGAGTTTCTTACTCTTTGGGCATGAACCAGGTCATCCAAACCACGATTTGGGAGCAGAACCTTGTGCAGGCGGGACAGGGGACTGAGCAGTTCATATTCTCCTCTGAGCCGCTCCTCACCACCTCACCACCATGATGATCAATCAGATCTTAACCATGATGATCAATCACATGAGTTCATGAGGGTCTACAGCAATGCACACCAAGTTAGGGAACTGGTTTGCACAAGTATGAGGCTCAAGTCAGAGATTTTGTTTTCTAAATGAAAGCTGATTTTTGCTATAAAATAACGAGTTGTGTTGATACTCTTCCATACTGCTTTGGCCCATCATACTGTGGGATTGGATTAATGAGCCACAAAATCTATCACATCCGTATTACTAGTAGATGACAGATGCTTCCCTCCCTCACTGAAACATTGATACCACTTGCATAACAGCACTGAGTTATTCTCTTTCATACTTCTCTTTCCAAGGCCTCCCCATTCTTCGTCTAACCAACTGAATCCTACTTAACCAAATGGACACTGTTGCCTTAGTTGAGCCTTCCCACAAGAATACCTCTTTGATGCATTCTATCCTTTGGAAAATAGTTGTAGGCATCTGAAACAGAGTAATATCTCTTTGGCTAGGCTGCCCAGGTTTTACTGGGTCTCTCCCTGTTGCATTTCTGTGCATCAACAAAGACTTGCAATGAGCCCGAGACTGAAGTCCGATTGGGTGATTAAATCACTGTAATCCACATTCTTCATGAAGGACCAAATCGAATCATTCTCAATACTTCATCAGATGAGAGACGCTCTTCTCATGGTCAAGTTTAAAACATTCAGGCCAGTGATCATGGACTTATGCCTCAAATCAAGCATTTGCGACCCACCAACGAACCATTGAGGATCACCCACCTCTGATGAAGGCACCCTAGGTGAGTAAAAATCGTTGTTGAGGACCTTGGTCAGGATTTTATAAGTACAATTTAACAGCCGGATGAGCCAAAATTTCTGATATCATCTGCCCTGCCCAAGGATGACACAAGTGAATGTCATATTCATTCCCTTGTGGATGATTCCTCAAGAGTGGAATTTAGGCGAAGATATCCACGAGGTCTGCATTGAGTAGATCCCAAAGCTCTCAGAGGAATGCATTTGGGAACCATTAGGGCTAGTTGCTCTATCCCGGCCATAAAATGAAAGGGCCTCCCAATCCAGGATGCTTTTGTGTTCCTGTTCAATCTCTGATTCGAAACTTGGTCTCCAGCAGCATTCTGCAGTGAACAAATGCATAAAGAAACTTTCAGTGGCCCCTCTCAATTCCATCTCTAGGTATCTAGGTAGAGTACAAAATTGCACCCCAAGGGATCGGGAGCAAAAATTGGGTTGGGGGGGAGGTGGGTTCCCCCCCTGCCATTGTGGGGCTGAGGTTAATGTGACGAATGGCATTGTAGCACTGTTATGCGCTTGATGGTTTATGGAAGGCTCTAGTGTTTTAGTCCCCCACCCTAATCCATTTCAAGTTGAGCCAGTAGATTTCCTACTGTTGGTTTGGAAGAATGTATCCCTAGCTTCTGACCTGCAATTTCTATCCTCATGGCTTAAAAATCTGCCTTCCTCTAATCCGTCCAACGTTAAAATAGTTGGATCTTGTTTTCCATTAGGAATTTGCCCAACACTAGGCGTTTCCAGTCCTTGTGCTTTTACCTTGAGGGGTTGTAATTTTCTGCACAATCTAAATCTGGTCTACCTGAATCCAGAGTTGAGACCCACCGATTCTTCATTAAATTAGCTAGTTCTTTATCATCCAAACACTAAGTTCAAAATGAATGGCTTAGGGTGGAAATTGGGAAATGCGAGAATGTGAAACATAAGCCACTGAACTATCTTTGAGAGTTAAGGTTCCTCTGAGAATTTGCAGGAGAGAGAATTCAGGGAATATGTAGAAATTTTGGATATCTTCTCATGACATATAGTCCTCCTTTCTGGCCAGGTTGTGTTGCTTTCTGTTTACTATTGGGAGGAGGCAGATAAATGCAAGGGTTGCTACCCATACGTTATCTATTACTATGAGGTCAATTTCCAGTACATGAGAGTATTTTTGTTTTTTCGTTTTCCAGGTGTTAAATTTGATTCTATTTTTGTTCATGTATTTCAATTGTTTCAATGGTTGTTTCATCACATTTCTGTAGCAGCTTTGTGCTTTGCATGGTATTAGATTTATAATTAGTACTATTTACTTTTTTAAACTTAGGGTTACCTATGCTCTATTTTTATTTTTTAGGCTTGAGAAGTGGTAATTATAGGTGTTGTTCATTTGATTCTTGAAGTGAGAAAGTCAAACTTATCGAATGCATTTTATCGAAAGTGGCAAGTGTTCCACGGCATGTGAATTGTTGCTTTGTGCTTTGTATGGTATTAGATTTATAATTATTACTATTTACTTTTTTAAACTTAGGGTTACCTATGCTCCATTTTTTATTTTTTAAACTTGAGAAGTGGTAATTATAGATGTTGTTCATTTGATTCTTGAAGCGAGAAAGTCAAACTTATTGAATGCATTTTATCAAAAGTAGCAAGTGTTCCACTGCATGTGAATTGTGTCCACCAAATGCAAATATTCTGACATCCTATGAATATTCAATATATTTGTAAAACCAAATCCGTCTCTCAAAACAAAAAAAAGAAAAAAGGTAGGGGAGTCTTCCGATCTATTTGACACATGTTTTATCTCGGTCCATATCTCCATTCACTCCCCCTACAAATTTCTTCCTATCCTTTCTCTGTTATTCTTTTTCCTTATCTCAAAATAGCATGCTCTCTCCCTCCCTCCGCATCCCCTCCCCCTCCCCCTCCCTTCAATCTATGCAATGGACAGCTTGTGTACTGGTCAATATCTAATTACTTGGTTAATTTTCTCTGAAGTAGCCAATATTTTCTTCTAATGAACTTATGTTTTTGAGTTTGTTATTTTCTTCCCATGTATTGGATTTTCTGATTAATTAGTGAGCGTCAATATCTATACCTAGAAATTTACCAGCTCCATTTTTTCTCAGGAATTAAATGATCAAAAGCTGGAAAATATGCAGATAGAAAGTAATGGAGATGGGAGCAATGCTTTGTTACAGTACTTGAGGTCCTTGGAACCTGAGATGGTGACTCCTTCGCCTCCTTAGGATTTGTTCATATAACCATTATGCTTTAACTTGCCAGTGAATTAGTCAGTGATTTGCTTGTTATTGCTGTGGCAGGTTACTGAATTATCTAGGCCATCATCATCCGAGGTGGAAGAAATTGTTCAGCAGCTTGTTGAAAGCATTCTGCAGAGATTCTTCAAAGATGACATAAGACCAAAACTCATGGATGATTTAGCTAGAACTAATACAGAGGCTTACAGTGATGAGGATGCTGAGCATTGTGATTCTATTGGCACGTCTCGGGATTACCTTGCAAGGTTACTCTTTTGGTATGGGTTTTCTCTCTCTTCACTCGCATGAGTTTTTTAAAATTGAGGAGTAGGTCCTAATGTTTTTTGACCCCGAAACTCTCGAATCCTCTATTCCTTTCTAAGATCAATCTAGCAAGAAAATTGATTTGGAGCTCAAAAAATGCTCCATCTCAACACGGATGACTGTAGAGCACTCCTTTTGTGGATGATGAGATCTAGGGTTTTCAAATCTCTTTCATTCTTATTTTTAGTTTTTTTTTTTTGAAATGCTTTACCATGTAAAAAAACGCGTAGTGTTTTTTTCCCCATGCATGCACGCATATGAGCAAATGCACATATAGGCTCATATTAGATGGTCGGCCTTACCACCCATGGGGGAATTTGATTAATAGATTTTTCATATCCTAGTTACCCCTAAGATCTATTCCATTTAAAAAATGATATGGAGCACAAAAATACTCCAAATCAAGTCACCCTCAAAGATGGAGTCCATTTGAGGGACATTCGATCTAGGGTTTCAAGAGATCAAAAGCATTTTTCTCTTTCTTTTTTCTTTTGTTTTTCCTTTTTTTCTTGAATTGTTCACGAGGTAAATTGAATATAATCTAAGAAAGTCCAAATGAAAATAACCACCCTATCATGAACTTTGGGGGCTAGACATGTGATTAGGTTATATATGTATATGTTTGTATGCTTGTTTGTAGGTATGTATAATTTGCGTCACCTAATGCTGAAAGCCTGAGACTACAGTTTCTGATTCCCAAATTTTGTGACTATTGATTACCCTCACATGCCTAGTAGTTACTTTGTGATAGCTTATTTCAAATTTCTAATATATGACCCCTACAAAAGTCAATCCTAAATTGAAATGGATGCCCTTGGGTTTATGAATTAGGGTTGTGCTTAAGAAAGATATGGCTTTATGTCCATAATAAAAATTTGGTTGGTAATTATACTTATTTTAAAAATTTGAAAAGACATATTTCTAAGATAACTATTTGTGATGTTTAGGCTAAGTTTTAAAAATTTTGGGAGTAGGATCTTCCAAGTTTATCATTAGGTTGGTGCTTTCTAGAAACAGCTTGTTTGTTTTCGTTTGGGTGCATGGGAGTGTGTGTGTGTGGAGATCAAGGGGGGAAAAGTAAAATAATACTCATAAAATATAATAAAATATTATTCTATAAAATGTAGAAATGTGGAGAAATGTAGGTTTCTTATAACCTTGGGCACAGTCAATGAGCTTCCATATTTAGTGATTGCTGGAGCAAAATGTCATTTTGTTTGTAAGGATTGAGGATTTTTATCGCTCCAATTGAAGAAGCCAAGGACATTACAATTAAAGTGCCATCAAGGGCCTAGTCTTGCATTACTTGGAAGAGAAGTAATTCAGTATTTAAAGTTGCATTACATGGAAGAAAAGGAAGATTTTTCAATGGAGTGTATGATGTCCATGAGTTTATAACTGGTTGAAGACATGACATCTTGGTGTCACAACAAACATTTGAGATTTGAAGCTTGGTGAAATGAGCATACTGATGGGATTCCTCTGGAAAAGCTGGTCAATGAAACCCATTTAAGGTTTAAAGAAGCTAGAGAATAAGGAGTTTGATAAATGGGGCAGTTGAGGATTCAAAGGAAAGGAGAAATGTCGAAGACTGATAATGAGTTTGATGTTAGCGATAGGTGTTCTGTAGAATCTGACTTTGAGGCAGAGAACTTAAACCCATGCTAAGCATGAAAATCATGAACTGAGCCATTTGAGGGAAATTGACAAAGCAAGGACACTTCTTTTTTATTTTATTTTTTGAATAGTTAAGTAGACTTCACAATAGGAATAAGTTGGGTACAGTTATAATACAAGAATCCAAATCGTGTTAGTAGATTAACTGGTACTAAGATCTATATGGGGCAGAAGGAGATGTGGCTGGGTTCCTCTCCAATAAAAACTCCTGAGGGATCATCATTAGATGGGACAAAGGCAATTTATGAATATTTGGAGAGGTGTCCTTGGAATTCATGGCAGTTAATCTAGGAGTCTTTTGTGGGAGTTTCCTTGTGGATC